TCCATTTCCGTGACTCGTCTCCAGGTTCCACGTGGTCTTCCCCTTGATCTTTTACCCTGTGGGTTCCAATCTAATACTTTCCTTACTATGCAGCTGCTTGACTTCCTGAGGGTGTGCCCAATCCATCGCCAACGCCTTCTTCCCACCTCATCTCTGACTGGGCTCTGTCTCATTCTTCTTAATACTTCCTTGTTGGTGACCTTGTCTGTTTCTTTTGATCCTCAGTAACTTCCTTATTTGTGTGTGTGTATTTGTATGTTTGTGTGTGTGTATGTGTGTCTGTGTATGTGTCTGTGTCTCTGTGTGTATCATTATGTGCATGTATGTTGGGGGTGGCATGGGAGATGTGGACGAATGGGTGCGTACAAATGGGTGAGTATTTAGTTTTAGTAAGTGTTTTACAGCACTTGCAAAACAATAAGGTCATATAAGTGCCGTGGGTGAGTATGAATGTATGTGTTTGATTATATGTGTGTTGTATGTGTGTGTAACTGCGTGTGTCAGGTATGTGTGTGCATGTACCCGTGTGTGGGGAGGGGGGGTGAGTGAGCGTGAGAAACTGTGAGCTTTCGTGCTTGTATTACTGCGCTTTTATAGGATCTGCTTTTTTGCCTAATTTCTCGCCAGGATTTTTCGAACTGACTGCTGGTACAGCTTCACTTGCATTTGTGAGGAGACTTGAGTTACTCATATACAGCTTCTTGGTTTGAGCATGAAGTTCTTTAAAATTTTCAATTCCAGACGTGAGAACACCAAATGTCTTGCACTTCCAACCGTTTTTGTTTAAACATCTTTTATAGCTGTGCCGGTATCTGGCAATATAATCTACAGTGTCACCAATGTTCACAAAAGTTACATTCTTTATTGCTGCTGGTACCATACCGTAGACGAAAACGTCATCCACCCAGAAAAAGTCGATGTCTTTGCCAACTTCGTACATGCTCTTCACCAAATCTGGGGTTACCAGAACAAAGAACCCACTACAGTAGGGAAACGGGTAGGTAGTGTTACTAAATAAACCTTTCTCGATCTTCCATTTTCCTGTGCGAGCAACTTTAGCATTCTCCCAGACGTTGCAGAAAATTCTCCTTTTGAGGCCATCTGGGTTGATTTTCTCTCTGTAAGAGGTGATGAATTTTGGAATGTCCACGAGAACGTCATCGTCCATTTTGACGAGCATTGGGAGGGAGTCGCACGTCTCCGATAGCCAACGGTAGCCCATCACTGCCTGCGAGAACATAAAACAAGAAACATGGAGAGTGGGGTAGTGTAAGTGTGTGCATATGTATGTGTTTGTGTGTGTGTGTCTTTGTGTGTATGTGTGTTTGTGAGTATGTGTGGGCATTATATGTGCGTGTGCGTGTGCGTGTGCGTGTGTGGGCATGTGCATGTGTGTGTATGTGTGAACGTGTGTATGTGTGTATGTATGTGTACGTGTGTGTGCTTATGAATTGAGGATAGGGCGGGGAAGGTAGTAATTGGGAGGAAGTTCGAGGGGTCAGCGGGGGGGGGCAGACTTTGACATAAAATTCAAAGGTATGGTATATTAATAGACTGACTTTGATTATGCTATCATCTACTTTGTCAAGACTAACAACCATTTCATTCATAATGTGTTCTATATCATGCTTTGGCGATTTTCAGAAATGTGAATAATTTAATAGCATTTTGGTTTGTTCCGCTCCTGTTTATAAGACATGTAACATTGCGCCGTTACCTCAAATGTCCTTGATCACCAGTCCTAGCTCAATCTCCCCTCTCCACACATTTTAAATGTTGGTGTTTTATGCTTCCCTCGGCATAGTGTAAATCATTCAGGAGATAGGCTTCGATCCTGCCTGAGAGAGCGCTGAGAGAGATACAATATCCCAGCAGAGAGACAGAGAAACTCGATAAAGATTCTTCCCACCCGGGAATCGGATTCGGGTCTCATATGAACAACGGCAAAGAGCGCAACTGTTAGATCTGCATACACCACAGACAGCGATTTCTTCACATCTTCTCTTTCTCACTAGTTGGAAAACTGAAACAGTAGGCAAGGACTGTTGGTAAATTACTGCATCACATACGTCAGTGTCATATTATGTGAACGCCTCCTATGTGAACGCCTGCTATGTGGCGTCGGTGGCCTAGTGGTTAGACTCTCGGACTCGCAACCGTAAGGTCGTGGGTTCGAATCAGGTCAAGGGCCTAACGTTGTGTCCTTGGGAAAGGCACTTTACACGAATTTTCCTCCCTTCACCCAGGTGGGAATGTG